TACCAGCAAATTGGACTTAAATTTGAGGAAGAAACTAGTGAAATGCTACATTTGGAGCATAGCTCTGTATGGGGCTGAAACATGGACACTTAGGGCAGTAGATCAGAAACACCTGGAAAGCTTCGAAATGTGGTGTTGGAGAAAGATGGAGAAGATCAGTTGGACCGATTATGTGAGAAATGTAGAAGTGTTATTTAGAGTCAGTGAGCAGAGGAATATCCTACACGAGATAAGAAAACGGAAGGCTAATTGGATTGGTCATATCTTACGCAGTAACTGCCTTCTAAAAGAAGTTATTGAAGGAAAGATAGAGGGGCGGATAGAAGTGACCAGAAGACGAGGAAGAAGACGTAAGAAGATGCTGGATGACGTTCGGGACAGAAGAGGATATTTTCATTTGAAGGAGAAATCTCTAGATCGCATCAAGTGGAGGAACTGTTTTGGAAGAGACTGTGGACCTGTCGTCTGACAGATCACTGATGAATGAATTAATACCCTTTACTATCTTATCAGATATACTATTAATGTGTTATTTTTGTGTTTTGTTTTAGTTCGCAGAAAAGGTAAAGCTATCCTTGTAACAGGCCGTCGAGACCCATAGTGTTGTGAAACGTCGAGGCTCCCACATTTTCTAGACAGTGGACTCACAGATGGCGGTGAGGTCAGCCTTACGTGCCGACCGCCCTTTACCCCCCAGGAAGATTCCTAGTACTCATTTCTGTTAGAGCATGACTCGACGCCAGGACCATAGTGCGGTTTGAAGGATTAGATAAAGGTGAGAATGCAAAGTTGTATGAAGGCTACTTTTCTACCTGCCGTCTGAATGCTCTCCCGTAATCAAAGTTACATTGCGACTGGCCGCGCCATAGCTCAACGGTTAGTCGCTGGCTTCCCACCCCGGCGGCCCGGGTTTGATCCCGGGGCTGTTAAAGTGGGATTTGTGGTGGACAAAGTGGCGCTGGGGTAGATTTTCTCCGAGTACTTCGGTTTCCCCTGCCAATCTTCATTCCACCAAGTGCTCCACAATCACCCTCACCAATCATCTGGGGCTTGTACAATAGTCCAGAAGTGGCCGCAGTACAGGGACTTAGTCCCACCTCAGTAGCAATAAAAAAAAATAACACATTGCGACTGACGGTCAGTCATTCAGTCAGTCAGTAAGTCTTGATGTCTAGCCCCATCTGGGGCTCATGACTGGATATTTATTACTGTTTGACAGTTACGGTCTTTGAATTGTGGGTCACACTCGCTGCCGGGAGGACGGGTCTGTCTTTTGTCAGAGTCATTATCTGTAGTAGTAAGTCATTTGCCATAATGTGAAGGATATTTATATTTTACACAGTAACCTCTTAATAAATGTATATAAAATATATACAGGGCCTCTGACAGTCCAGGCTCAGCACAGATTTTGACCTATTTCTAGTAGCTTCCGCTACAACGGCAGTCTTTGCTCGCTGCCTAGCTTGATGACTTGCTTCCTGGGTTGCTCGCTGGCTAGCTCGCTCCCTGGCTTGATGTCTCCCATAATGACAGTTGGCCGTCGTTATATAGTCTCGGCACCGACCGCAGAGTAAACGCCGTTCCCAAGAGTTAGTACACTGTTATTTGTTACACAGCCGTTACCTAACATTGGCTGTTTCTCTGGTTCAACAGTTCTTGCTTTGGGCAAATATGCCACAATGATCTTTCAATAATATTTTTCTTAAGACGTTTATACTCTTAGGTCGGATTCATCACTGCTGTATCACAAAATGTCGGCCACATTACTGCACAATCGGGTTTGTCTTCACTTTCTTTGCAGCGTGAGAGGCTTGTCCCGTCAGCCCGAGAGTAATGGACTGCATCACAGTGACGTAGCTGGCAATTGTAGTTTCATCTCCCAATATAAAATTAAAGGTTACATCGTTCCCATTTTTCAAAATTCAAATCAACAGCCTCTCATTAAGAGTGAAGAGCACTGTCTTCTCGGATAAAACGCCGTGTAGTCTGTTGGAAGTCGAGTGGCGTTTCGGAGGAACATATCGCCCCCATTCTCAGGGTCAAAGAATAAGCCGAGCAAGAAACTGGCGTGAAAGCAGGTAGCAATTGACTTTCAACAGGCTACACGGCGTTATATCTCAGAAAATAGAATTCTTCATAACCACCAGTGTGAGAACCTGAAGTCCTTTTTCGTAAGTGTCGGGAATCGACTCCTGTATAATTTCGAGGCAATGTACACTGCCCACCCGTTAAATAAAATTCTTCTTTTTGCATTTTCAGTGTCGTTTCCATAATAATTTGTCTTCGCTCCTGGCATAATGGCTGTCTGCATAACATCAGGAAATATATATGTCCGTGTACCAACGAAACTTACAAAGTAACAAATGAAACGCTTATATTTCAACACTGGATTGCATTTGTTATTTTTAAGCCTTTAGAAGTGTCATCCAACCTAAAACGTTTACACTCTTACTTCAAAGCCTTATTGATTGCTGCATGTGTTTAGGAATGTAAATTGTGTGCATGGTGGTAAAATGATCATATTTACTTCGTCATGCACGCAAATTAAGAGAAGTTAAGGTACGTAGACATATTTGCTGTACCAGCTTAAAAGCGCCTAAGAAAGTATAGCACTGGCCCCAGTTGTTTCATGATTGAGGAAATCCCCGCTAGGTGTGCTAAAGTAACGTGCCGATATCTCAATGTTCAGGAAGTGTCGCCCTCTATAGCCAGTACGTGAAACTGAGCGCTTGCGTGAGTGTGCAACCGCAGAGAAACAGTATTTCAGGCACTGTGGAATTAGCCCTACTGTGAAACTGAGGCCCCCTGTATGTAGGAGTTAAAAACTGAAAAAATATTATCTTTTAGGGTGAAGAAATTTTTAACGTTAGGGCGAAGAGCGTCCCTTCCTAAATTCAAGGCAGGAGCGTTCGAAGCTATTCAGAGTTTGGGCTCGATTGAGGAAGTTACTAGTCCTTGGTTCCTCCTTGCTTTGAGCTCTTGGGTCACTAACCAGACACAGGTTTCGACTTGCAGCAACTGACTGCAGTCTGAGATGTACAGTGAGAATTGAAGAGCCGTACACAGAGTGTCCCAGGAGGGAAGGTCAATAGTCTAGGAGGTTACTGTTGGTGCGACTGTTATATTGGGTGATCAGTAATTGCGTCCACATACCATATAGAACTGAACTCTGGCATGTTTCCAGATTCAGTTCTGGGTAACCGATACTATGCCGATCACAGTGGCCGCGCGCGCTCTATGGCATAACGTCTGCATACGCGGCTTGTGGGAACAACGGACAAGCAAGGTGAAACATTGCAGACAAAACGTAACAACGGGCTTGAATATGGAAAGGGTGAACTGCTAGAAGAGTACATCGCTTATACAAGTGGACGACGCCCCTTATGAGGTGGAATTGGGAGTTTTATATAATTACAAATTTTAACAAATTTTAATTGATTTGAAATTGAGTGAACTGTAACATTTAAGATTTTAACGCACAACAGTTTAGTGCAATTGTAACATTTTAATTACGAAATGTTCAGTTACATGCATGTGGAATGGACAATACTCAGTGCATTGTAGCAGGTTTGGCATAATGGGACACCTGAGGATGGCCGCTTGGGGCCGAAACATGTTGTGTTAATAGCGAAAACAAATGCGAATAAGAAAGAAATAGTTGCATTATTGACTGAAAACTATGTAAACATGGTGGAATGTAGTACTGCAGCAGAATGGTTAAGTACAAGTTTGTCCATATGTTTAATTAAGTACTACCCCATGAAGACCTATTGGGAAGTGAAGCTATAGTGTGATTACTGTTTACCTTGACAATAGACGGAGGCGAATGGTCAGTATCACGCCCCGGCCACCTTACAGTAGAGGAAGGAGCCCGCAGTACCCACTAGATAAGAGGCTTGGTGCGCCCAGGGTCTATTTATACGCTGTGAGGTAGAGAAAAAATTATGTTCTTTGCCGGCAATCGAACCCTGGGCATATAGCCCGTATCCTTTCGTTGTACCAGTCCCGCAGTTAAGTAATAAAGACCTCAGAGTTAGTTTTATATCTAACTCATATTGATGACTGTGATATATACGAAAGTTATTCGGAAAGGTAGCAGGAAACCCCAGGCGGTGAAGACAAAGTATTAAAAACAGTTAATAAAACTTCACTCCTCATTATTGTTAGTGTTTAACAGCAAAAGGAAATACTGCGACAAATTTATTGTTGCCGTTGTTAGCGAACGGGTCTGAAGCAGCACTAGTTTCTGGGCAACGGCCGCAAAACAGACAACGAAACGACCTTCATTGTTAGGCAGCAGATTCTTAATAAGCAAGAATAGACGGCCACTGCTAGTGAACGGCTCGGTAAACACGTTCTAGTGGCAACCAGTACGAGGATGGCATTTTCTGCTCTACCGTGCCAAAGAGATAAAAGGAATACAACTGGGGCAAACAAGTCAGTTCTGTACGGGAGTCTGTGAAGAAGAGTGTCAGTTTGGAAGTAGCCGCTATTCAGGTAGGACTTCAGAGCGTGAAGCTGAAGAATCTCCACTGTTAGAAGCCATTACCTGGGAACGGCAGGCTGGAAAATACTTAGCGTGTGCTGTGGTGATTTGTAAGTTGTGGAGATTACCGGTGGCGCTGTAATTGCTTAAAGTTTCGAGTTGTGTGTATAAGTGGTCAATAAATCCGATATCCAATTCAAAACCCTGTCAGTAATCACACGCCCGTGCGCGACAATTTGTTATTGGAATTCCTGTTGCTAAAATATATGTTCGCCGGTCACGGTAGCCGAGCGGTCTAACGCATGCACTGTCTTCGCTCGCTCGGAAGCTGGGATCGTGGGTTCGAATCCCATTCAGAGAATGGATGTTTGTGTGCGTTTTTCTGTGTTTGTGTACAGGTAGAGGCCTTGCAACGAGCTGATCACCCGCCCAAGGAGTCCTACCGTATGTCTAAGATCTAGTAAACCGAAGTGAAACGGAGAGTTTAATGGAGGTAGGCCTAGGTCCAAATGAGGGCTGTAGCAATGAGAGACAGATGTAGCGGTTTGTAACGCTTAAATGGGGCTTTCCGGAATAAAGAAGCACATGACTTCGCTGAGTTTCTATGAGAAAGGATCCGTTTCCCCGCATTCTTGGTTTTGATGAAGATATTAACTTGGCCTACTTGGTGGATGTTCCCTTAAGTGTAAAGGATATTTCTATTTTACATTTGACTAGTGTAGGGCCCTTTGCAGTTCGGAGGATATGATACGAACACAAATCCTGAATCATTACCTACAGAATGTCCCATAAATCTGGCCCCATACATAGACAGTGTTGAAGTTTTTACAAAGTTTTGAAAAGTATGTTCAGTACGCCCTTATTTTTCGTGAAAGTGAATTGGTTTCTGCTCAAAATGTTGTTTGTATAGACATTAACGTATATGGATTCGAAACTTATTCTCCTTATCATATTTTATAATTTATGCTGCATAAGTATTAATTATGTATGTATATCTTGTTCCGACATCACGGTTGGTATTACTGCTCCAATTAAAGGGTTATTGTCTAAATTACGTTATATTAGTTTCTTCTTTCTTTCTTTCTTTCTTTCTTTCTTTGTGTATTTGTTTGTTTTGTATCTTCGCTCGTGTCTCCTTCATAATTGACGTTTCGGCTCGAAGAAGCACAAAAGCAAACAATGAAATGNTCTATCACCATCAGTCATCATAAAAGGATATGTAAAATCTCCCTGAAGTGCATCGGCCTATGATTTATAAGAGTTTTGAAACAGCCATGAAGATTCATACTGTGAGGTTATGACGCCGTGTAGTGTGACAGGAAGGTACTAAAATTTCGCAGTAACATATTACCTCCTTTTTCAAGGAGGAAGTCTGAGCTTTGTTCTTTCACGTGGAGTGGAACAAAACTAGTACCTTCGCGGAAACGAAATAATCTGGGTAGTTTTTTTGTTCCAGTTCCGCCAAACGGAACGAATTAATAACAGAAGGAACGGAAATGAACCCCATCTGCTGACAAATGTTCAGTGATCTACCTTCCCTCACACCACCAACTTTTTTAATTGCGCCTAAAATGACACGTCTTCAGCTCTCGTATTGTTATACTTCATTCACATTCTTACCCATTCTTCATCCCCTTTTGTGTTCCTTTACCAGATATTTCACTAGCATCCTGTTTCGTTCGCCTCCACCACTTCCCTTCTCAGTTCCATTTTCCGGTTTACAGCCCATCCGAGTCTGTAACACATCATGGCCTCAGTTCTGAATGGTTCTATCTCCAAGTTTTATCTCTTTTAGGTTATAAATATATTTAGTTCCTTGGAGAGTAATGGCTCTATATCCTTGATTGAACTGAATAAAATTACAATTGAAATTAGAACAAAAGTACCTTTTGTTCTCCAAACCTATGTTCAACTCTTAATGCTTAAAGCATTATAATCATTGCTTTCTCTGTTCAGAAAACGTGGAGCTAGACCCATGAACATGTGCAGCAGAGGTTGGATGACAGGTGATGAAATTTATTGGCACGATTGAAAGAAGTCATTTCAGACCATTCCACTGTACAGCTAACCGTTATTGCGTCTTGAGCCGTGAAATGTATTATCACCCTAACAACTTGCCTCTACATCGTCAGTAAAACAACAACAAAATTTTCCACGTTTGTTTCTTATTGTTCTTGTTCATCTTCCTTAGTGATCAGGCCGATTTGGTGTGAGCTACCGCCCAGCAAACAAGGTTACCCTGCACAGGGAATCAGCAGGTCACAAGGCGTCTAACAAAGGACAATGAAACATACGTCCATGCCTCAAGTGGGATTCGAAACCAAAATCCTAGTGAAGAATGTCGTCTTTGGGATGTGGCTCCGTGTACATCTTGTGTGAACCGACGTTTCGGAGAAACTTATCGCCTCCATTTTCAGGTAGAAAAATCCGCGAGCGAGGAACCAACGTCAGTAGGTGTCTTCAGCTGGTTCCTCGTTTGAGGATTTTTCTGTCCTGAAGATGGTGGCGATTGATTATTCCGAAAAGTTGGTTCACAAAGATCTACACGGCGTCACACCCCAGAAGACGGCATTCTTCATAGTCACCGCCGTGAAAACCTCAAATTACAAGATTCTTGTGTTCGAGCGACCGGAAACAGTTTTTCTTTAATATCGCGAAATTCAAAAGAAATTAGCGATACTTAGCAAGTAACAGTACTGCCTGCTTCACCTGCCGTTCATAGTAATGTGTCTTCTTTTCTTTACAGGTAAGTTCTCTGAATGTGAGACACACTGATTGGAGTTCCTTGTTTGCGGTCACAAAGTAAGTTAAGCTTTAGTTACTGACTTAATTAACTGGTAACAGTACTCTCTTCTGTGTAATTCGGAGAGAGCTCGACGTTTCGGAAGAACATATCGCCTACATCTTCAGTGTCGAAAATGTAGTCAGCAAGCTGAGCTGAGTCAGCGAAATGTTCTTCCGAAACGTCTGCCTCTTATCAAACTTATTGAATGCTGCCTCTTGTGTGATATTTAAAAAAAATTAACAACTTTTCGTAGCCGTATCTACTCTCTTCTTCAGGTGAAGGGCTACCTACTAAGTTGGATGCGTTAGAAATGTATTCTCCCAGTCACTGAACCAAAGGCCACCTCACGGTTTCAAGAGGCACTGTGAAGAGCAGGTGTCATTGGTAGAAACTGCCCATCGAGTGCCTTGTTGTTGCCCGTTCCCACTGCTGTGACATGAAGTGACTACTGCATAATCAATTCCGCGGTCTGTCGGTCCTAGCCGCCCGTCTCGTTCAGATTTGAGAATTTTTCTCCGAAAATATGATCAAACCCTTCGAAATATGTAGTTAATGAGCGTTGTCCCGGGCTCCATGACTAATAATAATGGGTTCTGAATTGGATGATTGGATTTATTGACACATCAATTGCAATTACAATCAATTATAACAGCCCACTATCAATGACTGCCTAAGACTCGTTCCATTCCTTACTGGACTTCGAGTGTGACTGACTTGGTTCTGAGTTACGAGTTGATCACTTCTTCAGCTTCCGTCGTCGGGTGGTTAACATCCACAGCTGAACACTGAACCTTCTTGTGACTGAGTCAAAAAGTCAAAGTTACCTTGAAACTGACGGTCAGTCAGTCAGTAAGTCTTGATGTCGAGCCCCACTTGGGGCTAATGACCAGATATTCGTTACCTTTTGACAGTTACGGTCTTGTGTGGGGCACCCTCTCCGAAGAGAGGACGGGTCTGTCTTTTGTATATTCTGCTGGCTCTTGTCAGCGCAGTCTTTCTCAGGTCCCAGTCCCTTGGTACTCGCGACCATATTTTACTTTCTCAGATTTGAGACTTCCCTTTTTGTCGCCTCCTACGACTCGCAGGGTCACAGTGGAGGTATTCGACCCCGCCTCCACACTGGTGCGACTGAACCAGTCCCTGTACTCCCGCTTTTGTAGTCTAGCGGTAAACATGGAACATGATTGTTGCCGCGCGTATCCATAGGAACCTTTATTATTCCGTTCGCATTGAAAGAGCGTTTCGTACGAAGCCGGTCACCACGAATTCGCATCTCCATAGAAACGTGTATTAGCGAGCCGTTGTCTAGCTATTAACTATTCGCTCTTTCAGGAGTCATGTCACAATATAATCTACCAGAATCAAGCATTCTTGACTTGTAATATTGATAACATTTATTTAGGTTGATAGTAGTTGGTTGAGGCACTATGCTACAAGTCGGAAGGTCCCTGCTCCCCCTCCTAAATTTCTCATTACGCCCCCTGGCCTTTTTCCCATTCAGAATTAATCTGAAACTATGGATTTTGTAGACAGTCAGTAGGTCTCCTTGGAAGGGGGAACAGCCCTGTCAGCAAGGCCGCTACCTGTACACAGGACAACACAATGACGAAACGCTGGCAGACATCCATACCTCGAGTGGGATTCGAATCCCCGATCTCA